TCGATGATCTCCGGCAGACCAGGGACCACGGTGAAAGATGTTCCCTGGTCCTGCTGGATCTCTCAGCGGCCTTTGATACCATCGACAATGACATCCTTCTGGACTGTCTAAAGTAGCTGAGGGCACTGTTATATAGTGATTCTGCTCCTTCCTCCTGGGCTCTGTGCAGAAAGTGGTGTTGGGGGATGAGTGTTCAGACCCCTGGGCTCTCACTTGTGGGGTGCCTCAGGGCTCTGTCTTCTCCCTGATGCTTTTTAACATCTATATGAAGCCGCCAGGAGAGATCATCAGGGAGTTTGGGCTGGGAATTCACCAGTATGTGGATGATACCCAGCTCTACCTCTCTTTCAAATCTGAAGCAGTGAAGGCAGTGAAGGTCCTGTGTGAGTGTCTGGAGGCAGTTGGATGATGGATAGCAGATTGAGGTTGAATCCTGACAGGATAGAAGTACTGTTTTGGGGGGACAGGGTGCGGACAAGTGTGGGGGATTTCCTGGTCCTGAACTGTGCCCCTGAACTGTGATGCCCTCCCTGCGGAACACCCTCCCTTCAGATGTCAAGGAAATAAACTGACTTTTAGAATACATCTGAAGGTAGCCCTGTATCAGGAAGTTTTTCATGTTTGATGTTTTAGTACGTCCTGATATATGCTGTGAGCCACCGAGAGTGGCTGGGGAAACCCAGCCAGATGAGTGGGGTATAAATAAAAAAATATTATTATTATTATTCAACAGCTTGCAATGCCAACACAGCTGCAGACTGGGAAATATCTAAAATTAAAAGGCTTGGTGGAAGAGGAAGGTCTGAAAAGTAAGGCACCATAAAGACAACAGAGGCTGCCTCTGACTAATATTCAAGGGGAGGGAATTCCAAAAGGTAGGTGCCACAATACCAAAGCTGCTATTTGGTGATTAGATTATATATCTGGGTTTCTATCATTGCCATCATCCCATGGGTATAAATTTATGTTTAACGACTGCTCTGAAATAGGAGACACGGGCCATAATAGACAAGTCGGAAGAAAATCCTCTTTTATTAGAGCCATCCAGGTTGGCTGCCCTCATCACTGCCTCCGGTGAGAGCAAGTTACACAGTTTAACTGTATATGCGCTGCACAAAGAAGTACCGGTACTTTATTTTGTCTTCCAACATTCAGCTTCACTGGATGTCCATAAATTTTAGTGCCTTGATACAGAGAAACTTCCCTCTTTCTACTTTCTCCAAACCATACATAATTTGATAAAAACTAGCCTCTCACTCACCTTTTTGCTAAACTGAAAAGTCCCAAACACTGCAAGCTTTCTTCATAGGGAAGGCGTTCCATCCCCTTGATTGTTTTGGCTGCCCTTTTCTGAACCTTCTCCAACTCCGTAATATTCTTGTGGATGTGAGATGATGGAACTGTACACAGTTTTCCAAATGCAGTCGCACCTTTGCACTTTTGCGGGGGGGAGTGGGGGCTTGGATTGGACGGAAATGTCCTACCACCCAGCCCTGCCCATCTCCATTAGCTGCCCCTCCCAGTTAGGTGTCATCTGCAAATCTGATGAGCATTCCCTCAATTTGTAACAGAATTTGATGGGAAATTGTGGGAAGAGGGGGTAAATAAACATAAGAGCCAATATGAAGTGAATGGTGTGTGCAAAGTAACTGAAGAAAGAGTCTAAGCTGATTTGGATGGAAAAATTGTTGGCTTACTCCCCAGCTGTTGTGGGACTACAACTCCCATCATAGAATCTTAACAGTTGGAAGGAACCCAAGGGTCATCTAGTCCAACCCACTGCTATGCAGAAATCTCAGCTAAAGCATCCATGACAGATGGCCATCCGATCTTCTTAAAAACCGCCAAGGGAAGAGAGTCCACACCCTCTCGCGGGAGTCTGTTGTTGGACCACAACTCCCATCATCCCCAACCATTGATCCTGCTAGCTAGGGATGATGGGAGTTGTAGTCCAACAACAGCTGGAGACCGAAGTCTGAGAAACAGTGTTCTAAATTTTATTTAAACACACAGATAAGCATGCACATTAATGCCTATGGACCCATTCCCCCAAATCCTTTAAGAGCCAAGCAACTGCTACCCACTAAGTTCAATGGGATTTACTTTTGCATATGTGAGCATCAGATTATTGCCTAATATTTATTGAATCCTGTTGATAGGCCTACTTAAAGCCTAATCAAGTATTGCAACTTAATTGGATTGTGAATTGCACTGCCCTCTCTTCTAACACCACTAATTAGCATCCTCATTCAAGTGCTTACTACACAGTGATATCTTGAGATGTTTTGGTCAGGCACTGTATGCTCATTCAGGCTCCTCTTGGTATGAAAAGCGCTTCCTCTGCCAGCCACAACACAGAAGTACGTGGATTTTCCAGCCTCTTCAGAAAATATTTAATTATGTCCATAAAACATGCCTAACCCCGGCCATTTGTTTGTAAGGCCACCAAACCCTGACTTTTCATTTGACCCAAAATTGTATTAACATCACTATCATCAACAACAAAATACTTTTATGCGTCTTGCAAAGTAAATAACGCAATCCATGTTGCCAGAGTTCAGAAAGATTCACAAACTAGAGTGCAATCCTAACTCCATTTCCTAGGGAGTAAGTCCCAATGAATAGAACTTACCTCCGAGTAGCATTGCACTATTAAGACTCCCAAAATACACTCGTGGATTAACTGACTTAAATTCAACAGTCTTGCTTGTTTTAAGATGGTTTAGCATTCACTCAGAAGCAAGTCCACCTGAGATCAGTGAGACAAATATTACTTATTAATCATTATGACAAGGATGCCTCTGAGTACCGGTTGCTGAGAAGCACAAGTGAGAGAGTGCATTTGCACTTGTGCCATGTTTGTGAGTTTTCCATACGTGTTTGGCTAACAGAATTACATAAGAAGAGCCTTCTGGATCAGGCCAGTGGGTGGCCCATTCTGTCCAACATCCTGTTATCACAGTGGCCAACCAGATGCTTGTGAAAAGCCTGCAAGGAGGGTATTAGCGCAAAAGCACTTTCCCCATGTATGACTCCCAGCAGCTGGTATGCAGGGTCATACAGTACTGCTTCTGACAATGGAGGTAGAATATAGCCATCAGGGTTAGTAGCCTTGGCTGGCCACTGTTGGAAGAGAATGCTGGACTAGATGGACCATTGGTCTCATATGGCAGAGCTCTTCTTATGTTCTTAAAGCACACTGGAAAACAACGCTATAAATGGGAGCTGGGAGAAGAAGCTTACAAAGGCACCCAGGCCCTCAACCACCATGCCCACAAGCCAGATCCAAAAATCAGTAATGATGGGCAATATGCTGGGCTTAGTTGCCAGAGATCCCAAAGTTGAGTGATCTGCTTCGGGTAAGTCACCACCCCCTTGCCCAAGTTACCTCACCACGCAGCTTGTCTGGTTCACACATCCCTGGCTATCATAGGATGACTACAATACCAAGTGGCGCCTGTATGTATGAGCCATCACTATCATATTAGCCCAGACACATTGCTTTTCACTTAAACCGGTTCACACATTCCGCAGTCAGGCACCTCTTGCACAATTATCAGTCTCAGCAATCCAGTGATCCGCATTTATGTGCAAACCAAAAAAAAAGTCCAGATCTAGACATTCTTTGCAAGGCTACTGCTAAGCATGGCCTGAATACAGTAGATCCACCTCTCATATCCACTGGGAAATCCAGATGGTGGAGACCACATTATATACATTAGCAACGCAAGTTGTGGACAAAACATTCCAGCATGCAAATATATGAACTGCCAGCATCAAGCAGCAAGGGAAGCCTGCCTCCATGCCATACATGTTTCCCTGATGCATCTAGGTGGCCACAATTGAACTAGGTGGACTCTAGATTTGATCCACCATGGCTTTCCTTGCATTCCTAATGGCTAGTGAGCATCTAAGCACACCAGCTTAGAGCTTGTAAAAGTCCACGCAAGACTAGGATCTACAGTGCAAGAAACCACTTGTGTGTGCTTTATTTCTAAAATGAACATTGCAAATATAAAACAAGTCTTCCTATTACATAAACTTGTCAGCATGCACATTTCACAGGAATAAAGACATCACAGGGGGAAATATTTAAAGCAAGACATTCCGTATCTGACACCTTCCCTTCATTATCCGCACCTTTCATTATCCACATTCCAAGAGACTACAAAGAAAGAAGCTTGTAATCAAAAGGGCCCTTTTGCCCACAGAGTTCAAAACTAGCAAACCTCATCCCATTTACAATGTTTAAGTGCACACACACACAGAGAAAGACCTTATTCTGTGTATATACTGGACTGCCAGTGACTCATCCCTTAAAATATAGCTTTTAGAAACTTTTTTTTTTTTTAGATTAATAGATTTTGTCAGACAAGGAACAGAAGCAGACGCCACCACATTCCTTGCTTCTTGACACCGCAGTTTGCCAGCGCTGGACGACCAGTATAGACTTGACTGGTAACTAACAAAGAGCAAGAAGGTAAATTCACCCAGCAGAGAGTGGGAGGGGAGCTGGCTGAAAGTTGAGCAAAAGATCCACGGAGCAGAAAAGTTCGTTCATCTGTTTACCGGCTTTAAAACAAACAACAGAAAGAACAGAAGGGGCGCGATCCCAAACCTGCTTACCTGGGAGCAAGTTCCACTGAACCTAATGAGACTTACTTTCGAGTAGGCATGCACAAGATCGCACTGTAGATTACAAAAGTGGTTTTGTCTAAAAGGCCCTTTGAGTTTCAGGACTCCCTCTAAAAGCAAAGCGTGCACATTAGCCAACCCTATTTAAAATCGGGGCGGGGTGGAGGGGGGGAGAGTAAAAGAAGTAGAAGCTTGTCTCAGAAACTGCATGCCAACTGCTCCCACATTTTATAGGCAGACTTTTTCCCCTAACACAAAACACACAACATCGTCTTATCACAAGATTCCAGCTTCCTGTTTAACGCTATAAACTGCGTCCAAACTCTTCAATTTCGCCCCCCCCCCGCTCCGATCCCTGCATTTACCTGTTTCTTGGGTCACCCAAAAGCAGCTTCTTCTCCCCAACGCGCCTCGTCCGCTGGGATCCCTTCCTTTCTCCGCCCCCAAGAGAAAAAGTAAAGCTTTTATGCAAAGCACACACGCACGCATACAAAACTCCGTGAGGAAGATCCAGCGATGGATGCGCAAAGTTTCCTTCTTCACCAAAAAATCATAAAAATCCAAGCAGCAAGGGGAAGAAAGTTTTAAGTTGATCGCTGCAATAATACTAATAATAATAACTGGAGACGCGCGGGGGGGGGGCGGTGCTGTGAGAAAAGGGAGAATCTGGATGGTGGCGAAGTTTTGTTGGGGAGCAGCAAACAGGGAGAGAAAGAGAAGGAAAACCGACTCCGCCTTCTCCTCCCCCTTCGCTAAGAAACACACTCGTGCGTCCCAGCGGCGCTGGGGAAAGTTTGGAGAAGTTTGAGAGAGGAGGCATAAAATTCGGGAAGGAGGGCAGGACGGGCGCTGGGACAGGGGGCGGCTAGGGAGCCAGGAGGGTGGGGAAAGGGCGTGAGGGAGGGGATTGGAGTCTGGATTATAAAGCGAGGAGGAGCCGGAGTGGCGGTCGGGAAGCGCGCGCGCGCGCGCACGGCGCTCTTTCTCTGGCGCGTAACGCGGAGCTGCTTGGAGGAGCAGCCGCCGACCTCGGAGTCACGGCCCAGGAATGCCAAGAATGCGGAGCGGCCGCTGCCACGGCAGGGCAGGAGACGTCGGCGGGGACTTGGCTCTCTTTCTTTCTTTCTTTCTTTCTTTCTTTCTTTCTTTCTTTCTTTCTTTCTCACCTCTTTTCCCTCCCCCCTTTTTTTACACTGCTACACTGCTCACACTATACATTAATGTATATAGCAAATGAATGGAAGAGAGGAGTGTGGAAAGGGGAAATTAAAAAAAATAAATGGGCTGCTCGTTCAGCCCAAGCCAAGGATGATGCCTTCCAAGTGCGACTCTCTCCCGAGGAGGGCAGAGCAGATGCCAAGGGAGGGAGGAGGAGAAGGGAGGCGCCGAGGTGGATCTCATCGCGGGTGGGGATTGCTCTGCAGGAAGGCGCGCTGCAACCGCTTCGTTTCACCCATGGCGGGCACCGTGGGGGAGAGGGCAGGAAAGGCCCGATCGCTGCCTGAGGGGGGGGGGGACACACTTCGGATCTGCAAGGGTCCTCCTGCCGCAAAGGAAAAGGACCGGGAAAGTCGCGCTGTTGTGTTTTGTGTGTGTCGCAGACATGGGGAGGGAGGCGCTTCCCTGACTCTGAAGGAAGTTTGGGCTTGGAGAAGAGGCGGCCTGGGGGAAAGAAGCCGAAAGGGAAGGTGGCGGCTTGTCCCCTCCGCGGGTTGGAGCGGAGTTTGAGAGGGGTGGCGGGCCTTGGCGGACGAAGCCAGGCTTCGTCTCGTCCCTTCTATGAAAGAGTTCCTTTGAAAACCGCCTCGCAGGCCTGCTTGCAGGGAAAGGCCTTCCCAGTTCTTAGCCCGCGTTTTAAAAAGAATAGCTTCCAACTCCTGGGAAGGAATTTAAGGCTGCATCTGCACTATGCATTTAAAGCAGGGTCAGTCATGGGTCTTTGTTAAGGGTGCTGGGAGGTGTTAGGAGACTTCCCAATCCCCCCCCCAGAGCTGCGGACGTGGGTCCTTCTTCCCAAGAAACTCGGGGATATTGCCACGTGCCACAAGCTTTTCACAGAAGACATTGGGATATACTTGAAACGCATCAAGTCACATCAAGTGCCACTCCGGCCTTTACCATGCTGTCAAGGTCTGCTCTGCTTCCTATACACCACGTGGTGGACCATCAAAACCACATGCCTGATCCTGCCCTAGTGGTCTGCTAGCCAGCCTGATCCAATTTGGTGGCAGCCGCCACGGGTTAAAAAAAAGGCCTGCCATTTGGACTCTTTAATTTCTTCAACTTTAGATAGCCTCAAAAGCTCTTCAGTTGCTTGTTCTTCAGAGGGTCGCAGAGGAAGTTGCATGTTCATTGTTGTTTCCTCGTGAAAATAAAAAAAATTTAAAAAAGGTTTTGTTTTGGAGCGCAAAATGCTAGCAGGGATGGAATATTTTTTCATCATCATATTGGATTTTCAACCTCTCTGCCAAGTCCAATGCCGCAATAGGGATTTGAATTGACCATCCCACATGGATGGTGCTATGTTTATTTGCTTTACATGAGCTTGCCCTCAATTCACTTCAAAGTCAAACACAATGGTATTTGTTGCTAGAGAGAAAAACAATTGTATTACAATATGTTAACAGCTCAAAATATACCCCTGCCTGGCTGTGCATGGTGCTTTAGTGTAGAGTTCACATGTTGATATGCACTTACATCATAGCTGTCAACCTTCCCTTTTTTTGGCGGGAAATTCCCTTATTCCAGCGCTGTTTCCCGCTGCTATCCCGGATTGTTAGATATCCTGTAGACTGTCCCCAGGACGGGTGAGGCTGCTGATCCCTTATTTTCAAATCTGAAAGTTGACAGCTATGACTTACATACATTTCTACGTATGTGCACTGTGGACAAGATGCATCATACAGTCAGAGAGTTGACTTCTAGAAATTCTGGGGAAGGAGATGAACCTTGAATATTGTTTGTGGTCACAGTTTTCAGATGCAATTGTAGGCATACACACATGAAAGAAAGTCCTGCTGGAAGTATCGCTACCAAGGGAATATGGTTAGAACAAGAAGTTAGAATCGATAATAATACTGCTTTATAGTTACATTAAAGCTATGATGCAGGGATGAGGAACCACTGGCCCTCCAGATGTTTGGCCACAACTCTGAAATGGTAATGGGGAATGCCTTGGTATTGTGAGAAGCTTGAGGTGTACATGCAGTAATGTCGCCTCATACCCAGACCATTCTTTTGAAGGGGGTCTGGGACCCTTTAGTTAGCCAGCTGCATCTCTTATCATGGGTTTGGACACCTGCTGATAAGGTGGTTAATTTCTTGTCTATCACTTAGTCATGGGCAGCAGGGCGTCAAGATCAGCCACCAGTTAAAGGAACGCTGGTGGCTAGTCACTTGGTCCCAGAGAATGTTTAAATTTGCAAGAAATATAAAAGGGATTTGGAAACTCCATGAATCTTAGCATAGATCAAGACTATGGAAGATGACTATTTCAGGAACCTGCCCATTGTTGTTTTGAGGGCTTCCCAGTGACTAAAGGGATGTACCGTATTTTTCGCTCTATAAGACGCACTTTTCCCCTCCTAAAAAGGGGAAATGTGTGTGCGTCTTATGGAGCGAATGCAGGTGGGAGGCTCTTGCTGTCCTGGCTTCTGGCTTAGCCACACGCAGCCTCTTCTGGGCAGGGGGAGACTTCATCCCGCTGCCTGGGAGAGGCTGCACACGGCTATCCCAGAAGCCAGAACAGCAAGAGGCTATCCCAGAAGCCAGATCCCTCTTGCTGTTCTGGCTTCTGGGATTCAGAATATTTTTTTTCTTGTTTTCCTCCTCCAAAAACTAGGTGCGTCTTATGGTCTGGTGCGTCTTATAGAGCGAAAAATATGGTGAATTATTAGTTTTTTGCTTTTCCCTTTGTTCCTTGTTTTCACATCTTACCTGTAAATATAATATTATCAAGGAACAAACCTGGCATGCTTGTTGCCTTGACCAAATCCAAAAACAATATCTGTTCTTGGCAGAACAAACCCCCATTGACCACTGGCTGGAGCAAATAGGAGCTGGATTCCAACAATTACCAGAGGGCCACAGGTTCACCACCCCTGTCATAATTCATGAAAGTAGTAGTAAATTGGCCTTTCCAGATGTTGCACCAACCATGTTCTTAGAAAACTCATCCTGTACAGTAGATGGAGAGTAAATGAGAGCCACCATCGAGAAAAAATCACAACTGTGCTTTATTTTATTTTTAATAATTTTCATTTCTCAAAACAAATATCCAGTATCATTGTTAAACATACGTTTTCCAATTTCCCCCCTCCCTGTTGACTTCCCTCAACTACCACTTCTGGTTTATTACATCAGATGATACATTCTGCTGTTTATATACAATTTTATGTTATCACATTGTTATACTTCTTGTTCTCTGTAAATAAAATTGTAAATGTTTATTTAAATCCTGCCAGCGAGACAATTTCTTTCTGTTGCTTTTGCAAATATATTGTAAAGAGTTCCCATTCTTTTTCAAAGTCACTATTGTTCTTTTCACGCAGTTTGTCCGTTAACTTTGCTAACTCTGCATAGTTCATCAACTTGTCTTGCCATTGTGCTTTTGATGGTACTTCTCCAGTCTTCCAACTGTACTTTAAAACATACAAAAATTAAAATACCAAGACAAGATTAAAATTAACTCAACTTTCTAAGTATCTGGGTAGGCAACATGTGATAAAATATTTGGCTGTTAACTTATACCCCCTATAGTCACATCCACACTACATTTAAAGCACTTGTCTACCACTTTTAACAGTCATGGATTCCCCAAAAGAATCCTGGGAGCTGTAGTTTGTTAAGGGTGCTAGTATTTGTAGCTCTGTGAGGGAGCTACATTGTATGGTGTGGATGTACGTTCCTTACCTTACAAAAACAAATGAATGCTGCTAAAAGCTACAGCAGCTCTGCAGTAATTGTTAGTTGCATACCTGGTGTTATGTGCTGAGCTGCATCCTAGAACAATAGGATCCAGAATGCAGCAGTCTGATTGGTCTGCAGGAGCCACCCAATCCAGCTCCAGGTGGAAGTGAAACAGCGACCTGATTAGCCTGCTGGAGCAGCCAATCAGGCTCCTGGATGAAGTGACTCAGCAACCTGATTGGCCTACAGGAGCAGCCCGCAATTAGCCAATCATGCGGGGCCCATTGTGTAAATAATGTATATATAGCTAGATGTTTTGGGGAAACCTTCATTCATTGCTACTATGAGCTGAATAAAGAGCATGAAATTCACACTCCACTCTGAGTATATTTCACCTGGAATGTACTGAAATCTAGAATGGCCACATGCTCTACTCTTTGTAGAGAATCGCTGGAAGGAAGTGTAATTCAGCCACTGCCATGTGTTTAAATGGGCATGTAGAGATTGCCTCCATGGCATTAAATTCTGGATGACCTTCAGTATACGTATTGAAATCTCTCCATACAGACTGAAACTTTTGAAAAAGGTTCCAAGGTGATATTAACCTGGTTATGCTGTTTGTTGTGCTGCATAGCACAATGCCCTGGGAAATTTTGCATGTCACACCCTGAGTTGGTAAAAGGAAGGAAGGAAAAGAAGAAACATTCCAGATTTGGGCTGGAACTCCTGCAAGGAACACAGATAAGAAGATAAGACCTGGATGAGCAGGTCTAAATGTGTGTGAAGCCATCTATCTATCTATCTATCTATCTACATCATCATCTATCTATCTATTCCTTATGTGTGTTTTTTAATTCAAAAGCATAAAAATACTATATAAAACATAGAAAAACAAAAACAAAAAACCCACGCAATATAGAAGGCACAGCAAAGAATTAACAGCCCCAGAGTTCAATTTATATACACTGAAGTTGCCAAAAGTCCATAACTGCTGGTATGCGTGTTTTTGTAGGTCTTTGCTGGATGCATGTGTAATAAAGTCATGCCAGGTGACGTAAAATTATAGTGGCTTTTCTTTTCCTTATGAAGCTCAGATATTATGTGTAATTTTCTCCACTATTGCTAAAGTCTAAATCGTTCTGTACTTTGTTGGTAAGTTATGGCTGTCCAGAGTTTTTGCACTGCCAAGTTTTTGCACAACTTGAAAGTGTAAAGTTATGTCCTTAG